GATCTCCATGAAATAATTATCTGTATTTATTATTTTAAATATATATATAGAATATTTTATTAAAATTTTTACGATTTGTTTTCTTATAAATAAATAAAATTAGTTAAAATACAAATAAGATTAAATTATAATTAAATAAAAATAAAGATTAAATTATATGAAAAAACAAATTATTATTCACTATTTATAATTCACAATAATTCACTATTTATAATTCGCAAATTTATTAAATTATCCGATTATAAGTTAGAGCTATAAAAAAGAGTTATTAAGATATATGTATGAAATTTTAAGAAATATTAAAAAAATAAATCTGATGTATTGATATTGAGAAAGTTTAAAAAATGAAATTATTGTGGATAACCCTTATTAGAAAGAGATGCATGATAAAATTTTATGAACGAATTAAATGCGGAATTGGATAGTTGTAAATGTTTCTCGTAATTTTAAAAGTTAATATGATTCGAGCAATTGTGTGAGAACGTTTAATTGCATATAAATGCAATTGCATAAAAATTATCGGGTAGGATTATAGATTTTTCGATTTCTATTAATAAATATGAAATTACAGATGCAATTTTTGATTCTTCAAATATTACATTAAAGAGTTTAAAAAAGAGTTTAAGAAGAAAAAAAAAATTAAATTAGAAATTTGAGAAAATAATAGACAATAGATTTTTATGGAAATTTATATTTTTATATAATATTTTTTATAAATTTTTCTGTATTGCTTATTCGATTTATTTATTTATTTGACAAATATTTATTCGTCAAGAAATCAAAATTCTATCAACCATAACAATCATTTTTAATGGCGCTTAATTTGAATATAATACTTCGAAATGTTCAAGAAGGACATAATTATTTACGTAAATACATTACAATAGTTATAATAAACTAATCATCATATTTATTTAAATCTATATAATAAAATATGCGAAATAAAATTTAAAATAATTTTTGGATGATAGAATTATAATTTCAATCGTTCAAAAATTGTTTTATATTTTATTTTCGCATTTCACAAGAAAAAAGAATTCGTGAAATGCCAAAATTTGTTATAGAGATAATTTGTTAGAATGAGATTTCAAATTTCCTATTTAAGAGCAACTATTTTTTGATAGATTATATAATACATTTTGATTATCGGTTATTTCAATGTGTTTTGTAAAAAGCATCAACATGATATAAACATTGTAATAGATAAATATATATAAATTCAATGCAATAATAGCAATAAATTTTTTTTAAATATCTTGAAAATTAAGAAAATCCTATATTTTCGTGAAAAAGTTGCTTAAAAAGATACCCAATATAGTTCAAAAGTCATTAAAATTAATGAAGAGGAAGTTAATTAGAGTTTGAAAAGATTAAAAGGATTTCTACAAAATTTTTAACGATGACAATTAAATTATTTATATATTTATGATTTCTATCCAGTTGATCAATCTCAAGCTCTCTATATTATTTGAGATACACAGAAGTGTTTTAAAGTATTTTCTTCTTTTAAAGCAGTATAAAAATATTCTCCAATCTCTTTGATCTGACATTGATTAATTGTATACATAAGAAGTTTATGTTCATTCGTTTTTTATACAGAATGATCGCTTTCTCTTCATCACACAAAACTTGATTAAAAAATGATATTTTAATCCGAATGATTAATTGATTACAAACGAATCTATTTTGCGATTACTTGTTTATAAATTATATTACAAATTAATAAATTATATTACAAATTGTTTATAAATTATATTACAAATTTTAAATTACAAAACATATGTAAACAGATTATTAATATAAATATGAAATTCGTATACTTTTCGTATACTAGAAATCGATTCTAGAAGTAAAAATAAACGCAAAAGTTGGTATACAAAAATATCAGAATAACAGAGATTTATTTATTTAAGATTATGTTAGATAAAGCGAGAATGAAGCAATGATGTTAGATAATAGAGTTATTTCATTTTAATAATATTAAAATTAAATTATTTATAATTGAATGAATATTTATGATCATAAACTTTTGTGTAGATGGAGAACTATGAGAAGTATATATTAGAATGTGAAAGAAAAGAAAAGATTGAACAGGAAATGCAAGGCGGAGATGCCAAACCAAATCCTGAACAAGCTGAGAAATGGAAGGAACGAAGGGAATGTTTGGAAATGTTGAAGAGGGAATTAAGTAAGATTCGAGATGGTGGTGATGATTCGCAAGACTGGGACTATCTTTTAGAAGAAGAGGAAACAAAAGAGGAAAAAGCTAATATCACAGAAATTCAAGATGATAAAATTTCTAAAGATGGACATAATGACGAAGTAAACACAAGCATTAATCCAATAATCAACTCAGAAAATAAAAAAGACAAATAATTACATTTTATACTATTTCTGTAACAAATAGATGAGGTTTAAAACCTTTTAGATCCGTAAAAAAAAAAAAAAAAAAAAAA